TCAGAGACCTGAAAGGACTTGATAAAAGAGAGAATTCTTGAGATACCATGATGGTGGGAATGTTTCCCTTTATCCCAGGAAACTACCAGAAGAACCTAATATATTTCTCCTGGACTTTGAAGAACATAATGGCCTGGTCTCTGATTCTTTCCTGAAGAAACTCTTAAAGGGTAAGAGACAGAATGACTAGCTACTCTGATGGAGGGAGTTAGAATTGGCCTGCATCTCCAGAGTTCTTTGGGGCAAAGATTGTGTTTCCTATTTTGGTAGATGTCATGATGACTGAAAGACTTGTTCCTCCAGCCACTGGAAGTGATAACAGCAGACAGCCCTCAATGGTCATTCTCCACATGGATTGTTTTGGCTGAAAAGAACTAATACCTGGCTGGTATAGGGGTATAAGGTCGCATTCCCCGCCCCCCGTACCCCAATTTAAGACAACTCTACAGGGCAATCTCATCTCTGAACTCCCAGATTGGTGAGGTCTCCATTAAGACTGCAGCAAAGCTCAACTAGTCCCACTGCCCAATTTTGCTTCTTTCCCTTCTTTTCCATAGGTGTTGACCCCAAAAGCACTCCCTAACAAACATGTTGCATGGTTATGTCCATCTCAGAGTCTGCTTCCCAGGAAACCTTGTGCCGAACCAGCACGGCCATGGCATACTCAGCCCCACGTTGGGCACCATATGTGCCGAGCCAGCTCAGCCAGGTTCGGTGAGCCTGAGAGGGGGCGGTGAAGGATTGAGAAAAGACAGACAAGAGAAAAAAGCTGGGTCTGGGAGGGACGCTGTCCTCTCTGATGGAGAGCTAGCAACAGCGCCCCAGACTACAAGCCGTGTCTTTATTTTATAGCCAGATTCCACAAGGCAAAGTAAGGGCATGGTCAAGATGTTTACAACATTCTTGTGGGTTTCGAATCTACACAATTACATGCACCTGAACTCTATCAAGCCCACATCACTCAGCCATGTGGGACCGCAGGTTTGGACCATAGGGTCAAGCTTACAACTATAGCTTTTAGCTATAATTGTGCTGGGAGGGCTCTGCCCTCCAAGCTGGGACTTGCATGTGGCTTTGCCATGAGAGGACTGTGCCCACTCATTAGGCTGAGGCTTGAACCTGTCCAAACACTGTAGCCGCTCTCCACAAAACCTGACCGGTAACACCTGTGGCTCAGATGTGGGACCCCGGGGAAATGAACCAGGTTGGGTGATCTTGGATTTTCCAAGGGATACCCTGGAGGGATGAACAAACATCAGTAGAGAGGATGCTTAAAATATCAACGGTGCCTGGCGGTGTGGCTCAATGGTTGAGTGTCGACCTATGAACCTGGAGGTCATGTTTGGATTCCCCGACTGGGCACATGCTCAGGTTTCAGCCTCAACCCCTGGTGGGTGGTGTGCACGAGGCAGCCAATCGGTGATTCTCATCATTGATGTTTCTATCTCTATCTCCCTCTCCCTTCCTCTCTGAAATCAATAATGATATATTATTTGTCTGGGTCAAGAGAATTGAAGATTAAAGATATCCAGTTATGAGGGGGAGAGAGATCCTTGAAGAACTCACACAACCATCTAAATTTTAGATTCTAAAAGGGCCAGCTTTAAAAAAACTGCCCAGAGTCCAGTGCACAGCAGTGTCAATCAAATCGGAGCCTTTCCTGGCCTCTCCTTGGTCCTCTCTCCCAGGGCTCCAAACCCAGAGAAGTTGCAAGGAGTTAGAAGGCGGAGGGGCAAGAACACAAGATAGAGTAAGAGAGAAGATGCCAATGCTGCCCTTTCTCTGAATGTAAAGTCTAAAACAGTCCCCTGCCTCTTTCCCCCCCTCTTTATAGCACTTAAACCTCTCCCTTCCCCGCTATAGTATAATACTCTATCTCCCCGCCCCCTTTATTTGGTGAGGGGCTCCACAGTTTCCCTGATGTGCAGTCTCCCTGATGTGCAGTCTCCATCCAGTGTCAGTTGTTGCAAAAAGTCCAAAAAACACAACAAACACCTCACCTCGTCTAAGGACTGTTCCTGGTGGTCTCGCGCTGTGAAACCTAAACGCTTTTTTCTTTACTGGTACTATGCCTTTCTGGTCAAATCAACTGCTTGCATCCTGAGAGGCACGCAGTGAGAGGCACGCAGCCGGCGCTCCATAAAGTCCCCAGGTTTCCCAGCTGCCTTCCGAGAGGAGCGCTGGGTC